GTTTCTTGCTGTAGGCCATGCAACCAATCAGCAAACCTCTCTAAGCCCAAGAATCTCACTGGTAAATTGTAGCAGCTACACCTCCCTTCCAATTACAGCAAGTCATGGTAGAAAAATTTCTCTAAAAAGCTCTGTCTGTGTGTGTGTGTGTGTGTGTGTGTGTTAGGAATTAGCTAGAAAAATTCAAACTAATAGTATTAAATCCTCACAGGTATGTTTTCTTTCAAGTTTAGTATTTTGAGATCAGCAAGTAGGTAAATGTTATACTAGACCCTGGCTTATTATATGGATTTATACCTAGAACAGGTTAGATCTTGTTTCCCACAAGAAAAAACTACTTATATAAAAAGGCTAATACACCATGATTCTAAAGCAGGTGCTACTGCTGTCTTCTCTTTCACTATGTTATAATGTTGGCTCAGTTCCAAGAAAAACCCTCCCTGAGGCTGGGTGAAACTAGGAGCAAGTTGTACTTTGAGGCCTTCTTGCCTATCATTTTTGAACAGGTGAAATATGATTAGAGTGAGCCTCCAGGGCTGTCTGTATCAGTAGAGCTAACTATGTAAACATCAGGAAGAGCAGGAGGTAGAAAGGGAGATCGGCAGCTGTCAAAAGGGCAGGTCTCTAAAGGAGAATCCTCTGGGCTTAACTAGGAGATGGAGCAGGGAAGCAACTGGGAGAGATGAGAATCCTTGTAGAGAGAAAGAATAGGGAAAAGGAGGAAAGGGCCAGAGGGAGGTTCCCAAGTAGACAAGGGAGTTGCAGTGAGCACGTACAGGGTCCCAAGCCCCAGGGATCGGCCATTGTGGTGGAGCGAGGGCCAAATGGTTGATTCAGTGAATGTCACTGAGCACCTGCTTTGTTGAAGGCACTGTGCTAGGTGATACAGGGGACACAGATTTAAACCAACATGAACCCTGCCCGAAGAGTGCCGATAGTCACCAAACTATCAAAGGAGATAAAGCATGGGCTTAAAGTATGTCACAAGTTTTATGGTGACGAATGCTGTGAAAGAAGAGTAAATGGTATTTCCCAGAAGTTCAGTGGAGGAGGGGAGTGCAGCTGCAGGAATGGTGAAGGTAAGGTGAGGCAGGGAGAAAGGACTGTGGAAGGTCTGAGGACATATCCTTTGGGTTGGATTGTGAAGGATGAGCAAGAGGGGTACAGGTCCTAAGGGTAAGAAGACTAAGAGTTTTGGGCAGTGGGGAGGGTGGGCAGGTGGGTCTTAAGAAACACACGGTGGCTGTGAAGAAGATGGAGTTACGAGGCATGGCAGGATGATGACATTTCATTGTCCTACAGAGCATAGTTGGGAACGCAGGACCTCATAATGTAGAATCTGCTTTAGGGGATAGCCTCTGAAGGAAGAACCAGGAAAACATCTCCTCTCTCTCTCAGTCTAGAGTTTCTGCTTCTCCTAATTTCTCTGACATACCTCAGAGTATGATTTTAGCAACATCAGTATTGTGTCTCATTTGCTGACATCATCATAAAGACACTAATGAACACCCAACTCTGTAACCTTTCATCCTAGGTATGGTGGCTGCAGATGCAGCTGAAGAAGGTGGAGCAACTTAGAGAATGTGGGTGAAGAGAGAGAGACAGGGACAGGAAGAGACAAAATGATTGCAGCAGTTGTCCTTTTACAATAAATCAGGTGGACTTATTGACAAGGTTTTCTTGATAAGATACCAAAAGCACAGGCAAAAAAAAAGAGACAAAAAACCAAAAAAGAAAACAAAAAAAACCCCAAATAAACAAGTGGGACTAATCAAACTAAAAAGCTTCTGAGGATATGGAGAAAAGGGATCCTTATACACTGTTGGTGGGAATGTAAATTGGTACAGCCATGATAGAAAACAGTATGGAGGTTCCTGCATGATCCAGCAGTCACACTTCTGGGTATATATCCAAAGGATATACCAGTGTCTCAAAGAGATGTCTGCTCTCCCATTTTCATTGTAACATTATTCACAATAGCCAAGATATGGAAGCAACTTAAGTGTCATTAAATCATATGTGATCATATATATACATACGTACATCCACACATGGTGGGGCAAAAGGTTTACAGTTGTATGTGAAACAGAATTTATTCTTGCATTATTATCTACTAATTATTGTATTATTTTCCACGTGAACAAAATTTTGGATCATACTTGCTCTCATTTACTTTCCATGTTTTTCTTACCCTCGGCCTCTGTCCATTTGCCAAGCCTGGTACCACATTCTTTCCATATTGTTTCATCTCTCCTCTTCTGGCCCAGTTCTCCCATTGCTGCTATTAATCCAACACCACACTCTACTAAACAACTCTGAGGAGCTTACAGAGTAGTTTGAGACACAATGCTGATGTCGCTAAAATGTTAATTACAAAGTGTACACCCTTTAAAGGACTCTTACAAAACACAGAATTAGATGGTGAGACTATAATCCATAGACTTGACTGGACTCTTGTATATCAGGTTAATTTAAAGCATACCCACTTGGCTATTAGTGAGTTGTTCTTAATGGAAAGGAGTTACATGAATTGATTTATTGTACATAGGGCACGATCTAAGCTGTCACTGCTTTGTATCTAAATTTGATTTCTAAAGGGTATCCAGGTGAAAGAATCACTTTTCAGATGAAAGAAAAATTCCAAAGAAGAACATACATGATAGAGTCATAAATACTTGTTAGCCTGCGGCAAGCAAAGTTTATATAGCAGTCTTTTTGAATATTTATTCGTTCTTGGAATGGTTTAAATTAGTACTTTCATTCAAAGCCCCAAAGGCATTATGTTTTCAGCAAAAATAATAATCCTTATAACGTTAACTGACTTATGTATGTTTTTCTTCTTATCTTGTTGAGAGAAGGAAGTCATAAAGCTAAGAATCTGGTTTTAGTAGTAGGCTTCAAAGAAAGAGATACTACCTATACTGCAGAGAACTGGTATACTGAAATCCTTTTACTCTTTTCATTTATTACTTAAATCTAGTTGCACAGTGTAATCTGTGGATCACTCAAATAAGAAGGGGCAGTCCTCCATAAATGATGCTTCTACTTGGCAAGTTCACTGAGCCCTGAAATCTTGTTTGCAAAAATCAGATTGAATCCAATTGGTTCAGGTACCTTTCTTTAACAAAAGGATTCTTAACTCTATGACATCAGCAAGATATCAAAAAGATTAGCTGAAAGTCACTGGGTCTATGCAATGGAATAAATTATATATATTACCAGATAGTTCGGTATAAACATATATATTAGGACACTTGATAATGGTAACAAAAACCAACTTGAAGTAGCTTGAAGCAAAAGAGGGAATTTATTACATGGTTAAAGGGTCATCTCAGGCTGAGAAGCAGCCAGGTTTCAAGAAGCAAATAGCATCGAGTACAGGATAATTATCCAGATTCTGGCTCTCTTGTATTCTTCTCTCTTTACAACGTGATTTTTCTCTCTATAGACCAAGTTTTATGCCATAAAGTTTTATTTTGTTGTTGCTACCATTTGTTTGAAATTTGGGGAATCATAAAGGCTTCTGGACAAATCCTTTGCACATGCCAAAGTCTACTTTACTTTCACAAACATTTAAACTAATGAATATCACTTTTAAAAACTAAATAAAAAACACTGTAGAAGAGATTGAGATCTAGCATATTAGTAAATACAGATTCAGTGAGGATGCGTTTTGAGAGCTAATCTTAATTATCTATGGAAAAACCCTTTTTACTTTACCATGAAATTATAATATTAATTTTAGATTATATAATTAATAAAAAGAATAAAAAAATATACAGAAATCTTTTAAATCATGTCTTTCCATTCATAATGCATTAAACCCAATAAACCAGTAAGCTGGTTTACCCCTATGAAAACAAATTAATCTTTATTTTTCATGAAGGGAAAGTTGCATGTATGATGTCTAGAAAATACTCTACCATACTAAAAGAGTATGAGATGTTGAGATTTTTTGGTGAAATTCTTGAGGGAACATTGAGTTTATGGACTTTGATTAGGGGAAGTTGGTATAGACCTCCATCGTCATATTAAACACACACACACACACACACACACACACACAAAACAGGTAAAACTCAATGTTGGTGCCAGGTAACTCATGCAACTCAAAGATGTTTTAATGATAATTGCAAACTATTAAGGTGTGCAGGAAATACAGAGAACAGGGGAAATCATTTTAAGTTGGTCCAGTGATTTTGAATTTACAATAAGGACTGAAACATAAGACAGTATCACTTCCAAGTGTTCTGGCTTGTAAGCTGTAGCATGAAAATATCAAACAATTTTGATTTTGCTTTCTAATTGTTAATTAGTTATTTTGGATTGGGCACTTTCCAAACATTCTGAAAAATGTTTAAATAGCAGTAAGTATATTTGCATAAAATTTGCTAAAGAAAGCAATTAGAACTTGATTAATATGTAAATGTAGTCCAGTACAAATGTATCTATATAGAGTTTATTGAGTAAAACTCCCTTGTTGTAATAGAAACCCAGGTGTATTTATTTACTTTAAAATTGAGCTAATTGGTTTACAAAATTTTTGATATGCAAGAGTGGTTTATTTATTTGTTTTAGAGGCACATATGTGTTTGTATTATGCTATTTTTATTACTGAAGAAAAGTTTTAAAAATTATACAGACAATTAAAGGATCATAGAGATAAATTTGAGCACATACAGAGGCTTAAGGCTATTTCATATAATCATCTATTCTATTGTTTAACACACAGGAGGTGGTCACATTTTGATAAAATAAAAATTAAAAACAAAACAAAAAAATACTCACTCTGAAGCCCCTCTAACTGGTCCAGGTACTATTCCCAATCCAGCTTCTGGACCAATCATCCAGCTCTTTTACACATACAGTCTTAAACCTTTCCAACAAGCATTTATTATTAGTTAAGCCATGATTCAGGATCTAGGGTGGGATGTACCCAGGCACCCTTCACCTCCCTGGGGGAAAGATGCAGGACAGGGGACAGGTGGGGCGCAGCCAGTTCAGATCTTCCCAGGAGCTGTGCCTTCTGCCCCGCGGTCATCCCAGGCCGATTCCCAGGATATGGGGCAAAAGGACTTGTACATGTGCCAGTATTGTTTGCACACGGAGACATCGCTCCCTTTAGCAGTCATTGCCTTCTCACAGCGGGGCAAGTCCAGGTTGTTCTGCCAACAGTCCCTAGTCTGGTTCTGGTTAGGGAAGCAGCTGTCAAAAGGAGACGTCTTGAAGTTCTTGATTTTGGTCTTGATGTCTTCTGCCATTTTGCTGACGCCTGAAGGTGCCCCTGAAGCCACTTGAAGCTCAATGTCGAGAGTGAATTTATTTTATATTCCTACTACTCCCCGCAAAAAAATCAGTTGTTTTTTTCTTTTGTTACCAACTTAATTATCTGACATCAAACTCAAAATTAAACTAGTTTTTTTTTTCTAATATGGTTATCCTATAAACATATTTTTCTTATGTATAAGTTTTTCTTTACCATCTGGAACAGACAGTTAAAAATATCCATACAAATGATGTAAATAGCACACCCCTTATTAGAGCTGTGTGAATAGGCTGCTTCATTTGGAAGAACATACAGGACCAGGAATTTAAAATCCCAAGACAAGAATGATTTCCATCACTGTCTTTCACTAATTATGTAGGAAGCCTTTTTGAGATTCACTACAAAAAATTGGCAGTTAAACTCTAGAGGCTGCTTATATCCCTCACCCATTCAGACAGAAGGATTACCCAGTAGCTTTTAAATATACATTGTAAAAATCCAGTTAAAGATTAGCCCTTTGGCAATTTCTTTTCTTTTCTTTTTTAATTACGTAACTTCTGATGCATACAAAAGAGCAGAAGTGACCTGTATAAATATAATGGTAAAAGGAGTACCCTGAATTTCGTGTTTTCCTGTCTTAGTCTGTTCAAAAGTCTGCTGCTGTAACAAAATACCACAGACTGGATGGCATCTCACAATAATGGAGACTGGAAGCCTAAATTCCGGGTGCCCACACAGTCAGCTTCTGTGTCTGGTGAGAACCTGCTTCCCAGGTGTAGCTGTCTCTTCACAGTAGCTTCACAGGACAAGACGGCTGAGGAGGCTCTCCCAGGCTCATTCTATGAAGGTACCATCCCAGTCAGGCGGGCCCACGGGCTCCCCTTTCTAGTACCATCACATCAGACATTATGTTTCCACATAGGAATTCAGGGAGACACAAACATTCAGCCTATAGTAATTACTCTCTTGCCTTTAAAAATAATTTAATCGTAATGGAAAAAATACAATTAAAATGGACTATTAAAATAAATAAACAGAAACAATCGTGGAAATACGTATGTCTAAGCAAAGCATTACTGAGTTTTGTTAACTTTATACAGATGATCTTCTGTATATGGTTTTCTGCTACCTGCTTTTTTCGCTGTTACGTTTCTAAGCTTTATCCTAAGGTTATATTCTAAGATTCATGTGTTGTTTTGCTTATGGCTGAAGCAGTGTTCCATGACCTACTTTTTTCTACTCATTCTTATGTTTTTAAGCTACCATCCTTGTTGCTGTGTATCTGTAAGACCTTGGGCTTTCCCACTCAGCCAGAATTTTCTTACCTTAAAACAGAAACAATAATAGTAACTATTATATAGAGTTATTGTGAACATTAGTAAATTATTGTTACAATACTTCCTTTTATATTGATTAGAGAGAGAAGCGTCCGTTCGTTGTTCCATGTACTTACGCATTAATTGGTTGGTTCTTGCGTGTGCCACGAGCAGGGATTGAACCCACAGCCTTGGGTTGGGGGTGACACTACAACCAACTGAGCTGCCTGGCCAGGGTTATACTTTCTTTTAAAACAAGTCTTCTGGCAGCTTACTGTTTGTTCTTATGGGTGTTCTCTTTTTTTCTCTGGGATTTTTAAGGCCTTTGCCTTTAGTGTTGTGCTGTTTCATCATGGTATGTCTCTTTGTTTACTGTGGTGATATATGCTGTGCTTTCTCTTTCTGTGGATTTATCTTTAATTAGCTCAAGAAAATTCTTGGCTATTATCTTTTTCAATATTGCCTTTCTCCTATTCTCTTATTCTGATTAGACATTAAACCTTAAACATTGTTCTACCCTCCATGCCTGTTAATCCTTCTTTCATATTTTTCATCTCGTGCACACCATACTGCATAGTGGGTAATTTCCTCATATATAACTTCCAGGACACTAATCCTGTCTTAGGCTGTTTTTATTCTGTTTTAACACATTCATTGAGTTGTTCATTTCAAAATCTATATCTATTGGGTCAAAAAGTTCTCTTTGGTTCTGTTACTACTCATTTTGGTTATTTTAATATATTTTTTTTGTTTTTTAAGGCTGTTTCATGCCATGTTTGATTTCTTTACAAGGTTCATAATAGATTATTTAATAATCTATAAATGACAATTACAATTCCAGTTGTTTAGTTCTTATAAATTTATTATTTGCTGTTTCTGTGGATTCTAACTCACAGTGGCTTATATGTTGGTGATTTTTTAAAATTATGAGCTGATATTTTATTGAACTTAATTTATGGAAATCCCAAGGACCCAAACCAGGAATTGCTTTCCTCAAGAGAATATTTGCATTTGGTTCTGAGGGGAGGTATGGGTTGCAACTAACTGACCAGGGATCTCTGAAGCTTTTTTTTTTTTTTTACCCAGAACCAGATTCCAAGCAGGAATCTCAGATGTAATTCCCACACCTTGTAGTGCATGCCTGCAAGCTTGTCCTGGATTGGTACTGGCATATAAGCTCTGCCTTTTATTTTTGCTTATTGCTCCTTGTTTTTATTTGAGCTCACTTTTTTTTCTTTTTAATCCTTCTCATGAAACCACAGCAAAACTTTAAAATGCATGTTAGTTTTGATTCAAATCAGGATTTAATTGTCTCATAGCTAATGGGCTCTTCAGCTTATATAGCTTTACATGCTGCCAAAAATACGGACGTCCACACAGTGTTTCTCGCTGAATAACAACTCTTGGATGAAAGACGTGGAAGAGTCTTCATTTAGTATAATATTAAGTTTCTCCTTTCACTAAAGTCCCTGTCACAGAACTTAAGTTCCGTGCAGGAGAACATTCAGTTGGGAGTCAGAGATGTGAATTATTATTATTATGTTACCTTGGAAAAGTTGCTTATCCCAGATAAGTTATCTAACCTCTCTGTTTCTGTTTGTTGTGTTATAAAATCAGGAGGTACTTATCACCATATGTACCCACAAGTTGTAAGGATAAAATGAGAAACTGCCTAAAACACACCTTAAAGAATGTTAAGGTGAGAAACAATGTAATAATAATTATAGTAACTAACATTTATTGAGCCCTTATGATGTTTGGCAGTTTGCTAAGCCTTTCATAAATCTCTCATCAGCTCCTTACAACAACACTAGAAGATGGATATTAATATTCAGTTTAACAGTTGAAGAAATTGAGGCTCACAGAGACTAAACATTTAAGACGATGGTACTGTTATTTAGGAGCTCCTTATTTTCATCATGAAAAGACGCGGTTCAGTTTTTATGATAAAGGGCAGAGGATCCATCAAGGTGAGTTAAGTGCTACAATATCTCAACTACCTGGATGATTTTCTTTCAAGTAATAAGTATTGTATCTACAAGGATGTATGCCCCTCAAGATACCTGCTTTGTTAAAACCCCTACCCTGAGAAGGTGATGTGCTTTTGATAAAAGCAACTTTAGCTATGAAGACTCCACTGCAATTTCTACAGCTGTGTAATCGAAACTACTAAAAGGCATGTTAATATATTATTCTACTCACAGAACAGCAGTTTGATTCCTGTGACTTCTTGGCACATCTGTTTGGGATATAAATCCTAAGCAGACTGTGCAGTCACTTTCTAAATCTTCAAAATGCTTTACTAAGCAAAGTCTTTAGTGTGGTTAAGGAGAGAAAAAATTAATAGACTCCCAAGTGAGTGGAGCGGTCTGGCTCACAGCAGAGTGTTTAGGGCAGGTGCAGGCAGGGCTGGAAACTTGAAGAAGGTGCAGCACTTTGAGGCAGAGGATAGCGCACAAGCCTACAAGCACCAGAAGGCGAACTCTCTTGCCAACTTGAGATAATTGGAGAGGGTCTTTGGGGAATGTGTTGCCCATGTTTGCAACGTGTTTAATTTTTGTTACTGGCAAGAGTTCAAATTACATTTAAGTGCGCTTGATTAGAGATACCAATTATTACTGGTCTGCTTACCCCTCTTTCTAGTAAAATCCCTACCCACTGACCTTACTGAGTTGTCAGTAGGCCCCATGACCCTGGCCTCAACTAATTTACACCTGCTCCAAGAGAGTGGCCATAAACTGTACCCAGTGACCTATGTCTCATGTGTTTTGGTTTAAAAAGAAAAGCAGAAGTCAAATCTTCCCTCTTGGGAACCTGTAATAAGAAATACAAAGGAAAGCTGCAATTTTGGTATGTGTTATAACCGGAAGGCCGTAGAGGTGCAGGGGCAAGAGTGGTCACTTTTGTTACCAGGTGCCAGATGAGTAAGCTGAGAAGGCTGGTCCTGAGAGAGGTGCTGATTCACTGAAGGCCAAAAAGCTCCAAGGGAGATGGGAGAACCCCCTAGTGTTCCTCCCGCACTTCCAGCTCCTCCTGAGGCTTGGTGGTCCAGTTTACTCAGGTTCTAGTGCATCTGTGTTTTTTTTCTAAAAAACCTCCTTTTGATTTGTCTCTGAGTAATGAGTAACTGGTTCCTAGTAACTTGACTCACTGTCTGTTTCTTTTAACCAAAATAACCCAATAGGGGTCACATAATTCATGACTACTGTGTCTGATGCTGCTCTGGGCGTTAATACCTAGACTGTCTTCAAATGTGCCTGTTTTAGTGGGACACCGGCATCACAAGTGGCAGAAAGCCACATCACACTGACCTGAAAGGGGGAGTTTATTAGAAGGACTTAAGTATCTGATGAAACAACCATGTCTGGAAAAGAACGAGGATGCTCTGGGCCTCAGCCACAGCTGGAACCAAGGACTCAAACCCTCCTAGAACTCTAGCTTTCTGTTTTGTCTCTGCTTCTCTCTGTATATTTTTATTCCTTCTTCTGCTAAAAACTAACTTCTACATGATAGAAAACATGGCCTCTGGGTATCCCAGTTTTCTGCAGAGACTGTATGACTTAGTGATTAGGAAGCATGGGTCCCAAGGCAGGTGGGCTGGTTTTGAATCTAAATTTAGCCATCAACTAGCAGAAAGATCTTGACCTTTAAGCTTAACCTTGAGTTTAAGCCCGTTTTC